TACCATAGTGAATGATGGGGGGAGTGCAGAGTGGAGATCCAAAGCCCATTAGTAGGCCACTGGAGATCCCCTTGCAGAGGGGTCTCGGGGAGGAGATGAGCCAGTCAGGGTGCGATGTAACAATGATGAGAAATACAACCTTCCTCTAGTTCCTAAAGGTTTCCTCCCCGCTCCCACTACCATGACTCGAATTCTATCTTGCAAGACTGGCTAGACCAGAGGAGGTACACTGGTACAGATAGGAACTGAAAATACAGGGAATCCAGGACGGATGAGCCCTATAGGACCAGTGGTATGAGTGGCAAAACAGAGAGGGTAAAGGGAGAATGGGTAGGAAAGAGGGAACCGATTACATGGAACTGTGTGTGACCTCCTCCCTGGGGGACAGACAACCAAAAAGTGGATGAAGGGAGACGTCGGACAGGGCAAGATATGACAAAATACCCATTTGTAAACTATCAAGGGCTCATGAGGGAGGGGGGAGCGGGGAGGGAGGGGAAAAATGAGGACCTAATGTCGGGGGTTTCAACGGAGAGAAAATGTTTTGAGAAACGATGTACAAATGCGCTTTACACAATTGATGTGTGTATGGATTGTGATAACAGTTGTATGAGCCCCTAATAAAATGTTAAAAAAGAAAAAAAAAGAAAAAAGAAAAAAGATACTGCTGTTAACTAAATACTGTTGTCCTCATTCAACTCCTTTTATATACCTGTTATAATCCACTGTACGTGTAGGTTTTATGTTATGCATGGTTTTAATTGAGGCGTTGTGAATAGTTGAGATCATATACATTAGCCATGTGTATTTCCATATAACAGGACTATGAGTCCTTTCTACAAAAAATTATCTCTTTGAAGGTTCTTTGATCTTTTAAGTGATTTTTGCAAATCATGGGTCTCCCATGTGGTACCACAGACTGGTGTTTTGTTACTCAGTATCTCAGCAGTAGACACACTGTTGCAGTAATTATCTTTATAAACATGAAGCAAAGAACGAAGAAAGGGCCCTAAGTCAGATAATGGAGTGTCTTGAAACTGCTTTCACCCAAGTGATTCTTGAAGTTGGATATGTCTCACTTTCACAAAGCATCTTCTTTCCAATGGTTAGATTTTTATGTCAGCTAGACATATCTGGTTGAAGGTGGGGTGGAACCCAACCTATCAATCAAGTCAAAGACTGATGACACCTGCTTGGGGGTATGGCCTTTTATGTATGAGAGATATGAGCTCCCTCTTGCTCCCAGATATGAGCTCCCTCTTGCTCCTTTGCCTTTTGCTGGATCTGGATCCTGTGTGTGGTTCCTCGATCTCTTGTTGTGTTGCCTGCCAATCCCAGGAGCTGTAGTGGACTGCCAACCTTGGATTTATTTGGCCGACCTCGGATTTACTCAGCTCTACATCCACTAGCCTGTGGCTCTCTTGCTTTGTCTTCCTGCTACCTGTTTGTCAGATCCTGCAACTACACGAGTCAGGAGAAACCTTCAGCTTACATCTGACATGTGGACTTGAACTGGGCTGGACTTACCTACTTTTACTACCGTGTAAGCCGTTTCTTGATATAAATCTCTTTCAACATATATACATATACAAGCATCACTGGTTTTACTGCACTGAAGAACCCAACCTAACACATATGGTACCAGGAGCAATTCTATAGAAATAAAGTTATGTGCGGTTTCTACATTGGTTCTCAAGTCTAATTAGACCTTACAGCTCAGAGAACTCTGCCCTGGCTCCCTAAGTACAGATAAGTCAGTTACTGTGAGTAGAGAGAGCACTGTTAATCCATGATATGAAGTGGCAAAACTAATACCAAAACTAGTTACTAGGTGCCATCGAGTCAGCTCTGACCCATAGTAACCCCTCTGCACAACAGTAGGAAGCACTGCCCAGTCCTGTGCCACCCTCATGATTGTTCCTATGCTCGAATCCATTGATACAGCCACTGTGTTATTCCCTTTTGAGGGCCTTCCTCTTTTTTTGCTGCCCTTCCAATTTACCAAACATGTCCTGCTCCAAGGACTGGTCTCTTCTGACCATATGTCCAAAGTGTGAGCAAAGTCTTACCATCTTTGCCTCTAAGGAGGACTCTGGTCTTCCAATCGAGATGGGTTTGTTCTTTTTTAGCTGTTCATTTTAGCTTTCAATATTCTTCAACACCACAATTCAAGTACATCTATTCTTCTTCAGAGTGTCCAACTTTCACATGGCTTGGGTCAGGTGCACCTTAGTCCTCAAAGTAACATCCTTGCTCTTCAATACTCTTGTGCAGCAGATTTACCTAATGTAGTACTCTTTGGATCTCTTGACTTGCTTCCGTGAACATTGGTTGTGGATCCAGGCAAGACAAAATCTTTGATAACTTGCAGCCTTTTCTCCATTTATTGTGATGTTACCTATCAGTCCAGGTGTGAGGATTTTGATCTTCCGTACATTGAGTTGTAATCTGTACTGAAGATTGGAATCCTCGGTCTCCGTCAGAAAGTGCTTCAATTTCTTCTCACTTTTCAGTCAGCAAGGTTGTGTCATCTGCTTATTACAGGTTGTTAATAAGCCTTCCTCCAATCCTGTTGCCACATTCTTCTTCGTATAATCTAGCTTCTCTGATGATTTGCTCAGCATATAGATTGAACCAGGATGGTGAGAGGATATAAGCCTGACGCATAACCTTTCCTAATTTTAAACCATTCAATATTCCCTTGTTTTGTTTGTTAGCACAATTGCTTCTTGATCCTTGTAGAAGTTCTGAATGAGCACAATGAAGTGTTAGGAATTCCCATTCTTCTCCAGGTTCTCCACAGTTTAGTGTAGTAATCCACCCAGTTGGATGTCTCTGCATAGTCTGAAATACCAGTAAACATCCTTCTAGTACTTTGTGCTTTGAGTCAAGATCCATCTGACATCAGCAGAGATACCCCTTTTTCTGTGTCCTCTTCTGAATCCAGCCTGACCCTCTGCAGCTCCCTGTCAATGTATTGTTGCAACCATTGTTGGATGAGCTTCAGCAAAATTTTACTTGCATGTAATAATCAGTGATATTATTCTGTAGTTTTGAACATTCTGTTGGGTCACCTTTCTCAGGAATGGGCAAAAACATGGATCTCTTCCAGCCAGTTGGCCAAGTGACTGTCTTCCAAATTTCCTACCATAAACAAGTGAATGCTTCCAGTGCTTCTTTAGTTTCAATGCTGAAACATTTCAGTGGATATTCCATCAATTCCGGACCCTTCTTTTTTCTAATGTATTCATTAGAATACTTGTGGGCTTGGGTAGCACTGGGTTGGGATGTTTTCTTGATGCACACTTAACCTTTATATAAAACTTTCTCTTATACATGAGTTTCTGTGGATTTGTTTCTCTAAAGTACCCAGACTAACACAGGAGTATAGCACACTTCTTCCTGAGTCACCATCTGGATTTCACTTTTGAGATCCTGAGAAACATTAAAAAAAAAAGTTTTATAGTCTTAGGAACCCTATAAAGGCTTGCTACAATTTGGAATTGACGATGGCAGTGGACTTGGGTTTTTGCTTTTTGTTTTTATACATTATGAAGAAATTTACCAGAGGCTGGGGAAAGGAAAAATGAGGAATTATAGCTAAATAGGTACAGTTTCTGTTTGGGGTGATGAAGGTTTGGAAACAGTGGTGATAGCTGAACAAATTCCAAATATAATGAGTGCTGCTGAATTGTATAGTTAAAATGAAAAATTAGATATTTTACCACAATAAAAATTTTGAAATGCCTGCCCCACTTAATATTGTAAATAGTTAACACATCTACCAAAAACCCAAACCAAACTCAATGCCATCCAGTTGATCCCAACTCATAGGGAGCCTATATCTGGGTCTAAGCTGTTACATTGTGAGGATGGCACAAAATTGGTAGTGTTTCATTGTGTTGTACATAAGGTAGCAAAGAATTGGAACGATTCACTGGCACATAACAATAACAGCCCCTTATATAACCCCACCGGACCTTATCCTTGAATTTAACTCATCCCCAGCAGATCCCTTTGGAAGACACTCTTGTGAATGGATCTTTTATTGAGGGCACCCTAGTTGAGACTAAGACAAGTATATTAGTGAGAGAACTTTTCTGCAGCTGATTGCAGAGGTATATTTAAACAGTTTGGAATGAACTCCCGCATGTGTGAACTGGAACCAAAGTAGCAATACATTGTTACTTAACAGAACCTGAATACATGTTTGCTGGCATTTCTTTGAAAAGTATAGGTAGATTTCTGAGATCTAGGACTAGAGAAGAATGATAGGCTTTTAAACTTGTTCATGTTTAATTAGCTCTTCAAAATTATTCTCCTAATACTCTCAGGATGATGCTTTTCAGCTTTATTTTGATCTAAACCAGCTTAGCCCTTTCACAGACAGACAACTTTTTTTTTGGGGGGGGGGGTTGCTTGTGGCTTTTATTTATTTATTTATTTTTGAGTGCTTCTTTGTGTGTGTGTGTGTTTAACATTTTATTAGGGACTCATACAACCGTTATCCCAATCCATACACACATCAATTGTGTAAAACACATTTGTACATTCATTGCCCTCATCATTCTCAAAACATTTCCTCTCCACTTAAACCCCCGACATTAGGTCCTCATTTTTCCCCTCCCTCCCCGCTCCCCCCTCCCGCATGAGCCCTTGATAGTTTATAAATGGGTATTTTGTCCTATCTTGCCCCGTCCGACGTCTCCCTTCATCCACTTTTCGGTCAGACAGACAACTTTTAAATAAAGGGGATGTCTGTATTTCAGTTTAGCACAGGAATTGTTGTACAGCTGCTCTGTGAGAGGAAAGTGAGACTCTGCTCCCAGAAAGATTCGCAGCTTTGGAAACCTCAGGTAGAGGCTCTGTGATTTGCAATCGACCTGATGTCACTTGGTTTGGATTTTGTATTCTCATGTTTTAAAAAGCACTTTTAAGTTTTTTAGCATTTCACTGACCGTTGTTTGCGTCTTGCTAATTTTTTTCACTTTGTTTTTCAGAATGAACCTAGTGACCGAGAAGATGGCCTTCCAAAAAGTCACCATGTAACAGACTCTGAGAATGATGACCTCCCAAATCTTAATGCCAGTGACTCTGAAAGTGAGGAGCTGCATGGGCAGAAGGATAGTGACTCAGAATCTGAAGAGCATCCGGAGCCTCCTGCAAGTGATTCTGAAAATGAGGATGTAAATCGCCATGGGAGTGACTCTGAGAGGGAGGAGACTAGGAAATTACCAGCTAGTGACTCTGAAAATGAAGAAATTCTTAACGGGCATGCAAGTGATTCTGAAAACGAAGTTGTTGAAAAACATGCTGCTAGTGATTCAGAAGTTGAAGAGCTCCAGAAAAGTCCTGCCAGTGACTCTGAGGCAGAAGATGCTCTAAAACCTCAAGCCAGTGATTCTGAGAGTGAGGAACACCCAAGGCACCAAGGCAGTGACTCCGAAAATGAGGAGCTCCCCAAACCTCAAGTCAGTGATTCTGAAAGTGAAGAGCCTCCGAGGAATACAGCCAGTGATTCTGAAACGGAGGAGCTTCCCAAACCCAGTATCAGCGACTCAGAGAGCGAGGGCCCCCCAAGGCACCAAGCCAGTGACTCTGAAACGGAGGAGCTTCCCAAGCCCCACATCAGTGACTCAGAAAGCGAGGGTGCCCCAAGGAATCCAGCCAGTGACTCAGAAAATGAAGAGGAGCTGTCCAAACCCCAGATTAGTGATTCAGAAAGTGAGGACCCCCCACGACATCAGGCCAGTGACTCTGAAAATGAGGCGCTTTCCAAACCCCACGTCAGTGACTCTGAGAGTGAGGAGCTCCCCAAACCCAGAGTCAGTGACTCTGAGAGTGAGGAGCCACAGAAGGCACAGGCCAGCGATTCCGAAACAGAGGCCGCTGCCTCCAGGCACAAGCAAAAGCCTGAGTCGGACGTTGACAGCGAAGGGGAGAACAGGAGAGAGGATGCAGACGTGCAAAATGACTCCTTTCATTCAGATGGCCAAACAGAGAGGAAAAGGTTTCACAGTTCTGACAGTGAGGAGGAAGAACCCAAAAAGCCAAAACTTGAGAGTGATGAAGATGAAGAAAAGGAGGGAGCGGAGGAAAAAACAACAAAGAGGAAAGTGGCTGTTCTTTCGGATAGTGAAGATGAAAAGAAAGCGTGTAAGGAATTATCTAAGCTTGTAACTGTCAAGCACTGCTTGTTTTCTTTGTGTTAGATTCTGTCCTTCAACTTGATGTTTTAAAATTTTCACTAGAAACCGGTTCCCCTTGGTTTTTCTTGATAATCAATTTCCTTTGAGGAGTTGCAGCAGCTTTTTTAGGTCCAAAGTGGTAAGCTGAACAGTTTTTTACCAGAATGGGGAATGTTTCAAAGGAAGTTATTACTTGAAAACTGCTCACTAAGTCTAGTCAGTTGGGTATCACTTTGACGGTCACTTCCCTAGCTCCCATACAAATAGTAACTAAAGTTTTAGAGGGGACTACATTTACAAATTCACTGTCTCTTCAAGTATTCCAGCATGCTAGCACCCCATTTTCACCGTGATTTCCCCCAAGCCCCTCTTTTTAAGCAGATTTATCGGCATGTAATTCACTTGGTCAAACAACTCAATAGTTCAGTCATGTAAAGATGAGTCGTACAATCATCACCACAATTTTAGGACATTTTATTCTTTCTTGTATTGTTATTAGCTTCCTATTTCCCCCCAGCTTTTCCCTGCCACACCCCTAAGAAACCATTAATCCACTTACTGTCTCCAGATTTACCTATCCTGGATTTCATATACAGAAAAACATACAAAAGCAACCAAAAAATCTAACAATCATAACAAAATAAAAGAGAAAAACCTCAATTGAAAAGAAAGCAGAAAATACAAAAAACTAGAAAAAAATTTAAATGAGTCAAATGTGAGGTCACAGGAAAACGATTAAATTTTAACCTAGCTGCATTTGCAATAATACGTTTTCCAATCTACTGTGCATGAGAGCAAGGTGCTATTCATATCCCTGGTCTATGGTCAGGGGATTTACTGGAGGCTTATCTATGCGTGTTTTCGATGTGTATTTTCCCTTTGCTTTTTAAAAAAACTGGAACAACTATAAAATAGATAAAAAGGGAGATCAAATGATAACACATTTTTACCTAACTACATCTGCCATAATTGTCTTTACAGTGCTCTCTATTTCATAACAATAGGGTTTTTTGTTTGTTTTAAATCATTTTATTAGGGACTCATACTACTCTTATCACAGTCCATACATACATCAGTTGTGTCAAGCACATTTGTACATATGTTGCCATCATCATTCGCAAAACATTTGCTTTCTATAGTTTTTTTACTTCCCTTGAGTATGGTCAGCAGGGCACTGGGTCCGTGTGTGGACCCTACAATGGGATTTTGGGTGCAGATAATTTTTATTTGATTACCTTGTTAGGAAACTTGTCTTTGGAAAAGAGGTATTCCCTTACAACCTTAAAGTTAAGGTTAACTTAAGGAGAGGGGGAAATAGACCACACTTGCTACCAATTTGTTGGGTAGGATGAGAAGCATCACAAAGACTGGCAATTCAGAAACATGGGGATTCTAACAAAGAATATCCAATCCTTTTTTTAAAAAAATCCAATCCTTTTTAGTTCCACTAAGACTAGATAGTATAGAATATAGGCCAGATGTACATCAGTCTAATGTTTTCTTTGCCCCTCATTTGTACTCAATTTTAAGTTGATGATTTTTGTTTATTTAATATTCTAGGCACATTTTTCCTAAAACCAAAAATCAGACTATTATGGAGTCAATTCCAACTCATAGTGACCCTATAAGACAAGGTAGAACTGCCCCTGTGAGTGTGAGACACTTAACTTTTTTTTTTTAAATCATTTTATTGGGGGCTCATACTATTACCACAACCCATACATTTATCAATTGTATAAAGCACACCTGTACGTTCACTATCCTCACCATTCTTAAAACACTTGCTCTCCAAGTAAGCCCCTAGCATCAGCTCCTCATTTTCCCCCCTCCCTCCCTGTGACACTTAACTTTTTATGGGAGTAGAAAGCCTGTCTTTCTCTCAGGGAACAGACAGTTGTTTTGAACTGCTTACCTTGTGGGTAGCATCTTAATGACACGTCAGTAGACCCTTTGATTTTTTGCTACATACTACTATTAGGACTACTATGTTTAATTATATATTGTAATAACGATAAGACAAAATAATAAGTTTGGGGTTTTTTGTGTCTTTTTGACAACAGCTAAGAAGAGCCGTGTTGTCTCTGATGCAGATGATTCTGACAGTGATGTTACATCAGAAAAAGCAGGCAGAAGAGAAAAGACTTCGGGCAGTGAAGAAGAAGTCGGCGAAGAGGAAGCATCTGCTAAGAAGACTGAGGAGAATGATTTATTTGGGAGTGACAGTGAGTCCGGGAATGAAGAAGAGTAAGTGATAGTGTGGCATGAGCTTTTAAAGGCTCCTATAAAGATGGGAAAGAGGAGTTTGTCAAGTTTTTGTAAATTACTTGAATTTCTGTTGAGGTATAATATGTGCTACCTGAATGTATACTTTGGAGACTTAGAATTTTTGTTTAAGAAGCAAAGAGAATAAGTATGAGGACATGTATCCTCTTTATAATCTTTGGTGATGGAAATGAGGGCAGTGCCTGCCGTGAAGGTACAGAGGCTTACACTGATTAGAAAGAGGTCCAGGGGAACTTTCTGGGAAGATGAAATCGCTCTATTATCTTGATTAGTGTGCTGGTTACATGAGCATTTACATTTGTTAAAATCTATTATAATAAACTATAGATTTGCACATTTTACTATATGTAGGTTATTCTTAATTTCGAAAAGGTTTTTATGGTTCCTATGGAAATGAGAAGAAAGATATTCTCTCTGTTCCTCTAGAACCCTTATTGCAGACATATTTGGAGAGTCTGGTGACGAGGAAGAAGAAGAGTTCACAGTAAGTACAAGACTAGACTGCATTCTGTGCTTTTATTTTCATGACAGTACTCATGGACTTGTACAATAAGTTGGGATAAAAATGTATTCAGGAAAAAATGGATTCAGAAAGTGAAATAAAAGAGAGTAGAAGTATAAAAGCAAAATAAAAGATGGGATTGAAAGGGGAAGGGAGTGTTAAAAGAGTCGAAGTAAGACAATATTGCTAATGGTAACATTTGATTCTAGCCTTGATTTGGGATAATTTGTAGCAACCCAACTATTAACAGCAACTAAAATAGCTGGGACAGAATTTTTTTAAATGTGGCTATTGTCAGGGGAACACATCAGCAAAGAATCACTAAGTTAAGAACAACCGAAGACAAACTGAAGCAGTAAGCTCAGTATTTAGAATATTTTTTCCAAAGTATGATTGCCTATTCTGGAAAACATACCAGAAAGGATGCTTCATATTTTCTGGAACTTAGAGACTAAGGAGACAAAATTTGTAATATGGGGCCTGTAACGGGTAGAGTCCCATGTAAATGACATGTTCTGGATTGGGACTAAAACAGTACACCATATGTATATGGGTGAACTAGAAGTTAAAATAGCCCTTGCTTGGACTTTATCCAGCTTTCAGTCATTTTATAACCTAGTAAACACTAATCTCGGGAATTTATTACTTTCATTCTTAACCTGTTTAGCTAATGATCTAGTATCCTGATATAATAATCATAATGCTATTTTCAGGATAAAAGTAACACCACCATAGACCTCAAATTATATGTACCAGTTTTCAAATACACACGTAGGTACAGTTATGAAGGTAAACAGATATGCAACAAACAATGGTAATGACAGACGATAGAAATAGGACTAGAAGCCCTAGTCGTAGAAACTTCAGACATCACTTTGACAAAAAGACTGGGCACATAAAAGATAAAAAATTTTGTCAAAACAAACTACAGTGAGACTTGTAAGAGCCGGAACTGACAGGATCTTAAGACTAGGTGCAGCCTTTACTTTGCTTTTGCTCTTCTTAGTACAAAGTGTTTGAATTTCCCATCTCTCACAGGTTTTTACTTCACGCAGATTCGAGTTTCTCAGGTTTGACTGTAGGGTGAAAATGTACACGATTAGGAGACATAGATTACACATAGAAGGTTTAAAATATCAAATTAGAATACCACAAAGAAGTTGAAAACTTAAATAGCAAACAATATGAAGAAACAATATAACCATATAGATTGAAGAAACTCTGGGCAAATAAAACGAATTCTATGCATAAATACAACGTAATGAAATTGTAAGAAAACAAGACAATTTTAAAAGCAGCCAGTGAGGGAAAAAATTACATCAAAAAAGCATGTATTAGCCCAATAGTTGACTTCTTAACAGGAAAAATAGAATCCAGAACTCAGCGTTAAAGGAAATAACTGTAAACATAGAATTTGTTATATTAGCAAAAATACTTTTCAAGGATGAAGATGAAATAAGGACATTTCGAGACATGTAAAACCTGAGGGAATTACTAATTTATATATGTATCAACTGAAGAAAATATTAAAGGTTGTTAGGTAGAAAGAATGTGATCTTAAGTGTAAGGTCAAACTGATATATGTGAGTTTGTCTAAATAAGCATCAACTACACAAAACAGAAAAGGTGTGATTTAAAATGTACAGGAATTTAAAACATGATGGCAGTAACAAATTGGGAGGAATACATGGAATGGAAGCAGTCAAAGGTCCTGGCAGATACAGGTAAAAGTACAGTTGTAGACTTTGATAAGTTAAGATGTATTTTGTAATCGCTAGCAATTAAAAAGGTGTATAAAATGTATAACTTTCAAACTAATAGAGGGGGGAAATGGAATAATAAAAACGGATTAATCCCAATGAAAAGAGTAGTCAATGACATCTAGAACAGGAGGACTTTTAGAAGTATATAATAACCACACCCACACTCACTCAACCCACACCCACCCACGCCCCTACCACCTCACCCCATAACCACACCTACACTCAACCCACACCCACACCACCTCACCCCATAGCCACACCCACACCTACACTCAACCCACACGCACCCACCACCTCACCCCACATCCTCACTCAACCCACACCCACCCTTACTCAACCCACACCCATCCACTCCCACACCCACCCTCAACCCACACCCACCCATGCCCCCACCACTTCACCCCATATTCACACCCACACTCACAACGCCACCCACACCCACCCCACACTCACATTCAAATCCACATCTACCCCACACCCCCACCACCCCACCCCAAACCCCCCACAACCTCACCCCATGCCCACACTCACATCCACACCCAAACCCATACCTACCTTCCACCCAACCTACCCTCCACCCTACCCACGCCACATCCATACTGACACCCACACAACCTCAACTCACCCCACATCCATATCTATACCCACCCCACACCCACCCCAACCGAACCCACACCCTAAAAAAAAAAGTATATAATAAGATAGCAAATTTGAAGAATAGTTGCCCTTGAGTAAATTACAATCCATAACGATCCCATACATGTCAGTAGGAGTGCACTCTGTTGGGTTTTCAATGACTGATTTTTTCCCCCCAAAGTATCACTAGTGGGGAAGCTACAAAGGAAAGATTACCCATTTTAGTTAGATGAGAATCTGAAATATATACAGATGTCTGATAAGTATTGCCAAAGGGAAATTCAAACCGCACAGATAAATGCTAGGTCATAATAAAAGGAAAGAGAAAATATTTTAAAAATACATGTATGTATGTATGTATGTATGTATATAGAATTGCTTATAATAGAGACTTTCTAGAAGAAAACGTAACTGGTGATAGGATACAGAGGAACTTCTCTATACTTTCTGATACTTACATAATTTTTTCCCACAAAATGTATTTTTTGTTTTTGTTTTTTCTGAGTTCGTTTAATACAACTACAAAAGATCAATGGGCTTATGCCCCACTACTAGTACATGATACACATCAGCTGCCCTACCCAAAACAGCTCAGGGTCGTTTTCACTACAGTGTAGAAAGACTGCCCCTCTCTACAAAAAAAGCCTATCATGATCAAATACCATGTTCTCAGTAGTCAAAGGCCTTATGTGTGAAACACGAAGAATACAAAAGAGGTTTTGTTTGTTTTTCTCAAGGCTACTCGTTGCAGCCTAGCACTGAAGTGATCCAGTGCTCACTTCTGCTTAGCGAAATACTCTGCTCCTCTGGACATCAGGCTTGATAGTATCACTGCACTTCTCCATGTTTATCCTGAACCAGTCTTAGGGTCTCATCCACAGAGCGGCCAACAGGGAGGTCATTTACAGCGATCTGCCTAAGGATTCCTTTATCATCAGTGAAGAGGCCCCTAAACGAGATGCTTTCATCCACCTTAAGACCCCATAGTCCTGAGCAATGGTGCGCTTGGGGTCTGATACCAAAGGAATGTTCTTAGGCCCTAGGCCTCCTTCTTTCTTGGGTGTGTTGATCCAAGCCAGATGGCAGAAGTGAGAAAGAAGCACCAATCACTTGGCAGTTGAGTTTCTTAAATTCTTCTGCCCTGTCACTGAAAGCAGTGATCTTACGGCACACTAAGGTGAAGTTAAGAGGGTAAATAAAGAACACTATGTATTTTCCTTTGTACTCAGTCAGGCTGATATCTTTGAACTGACCATCAAGCATAACAGCTGTAGCTTTGAAGTTGGAGGCAGGGTGCCCAATTTTTGCAGTTCCTGAAGACATCTTGTTAACAGCAGGGGCGCGCTGAAGGAGCAAGCACCAGTCACCAGCCAGGAAGAGAGCGTCAAAATGTATTTCTTTTTAAAACTTGAAAAAAAATAAAAGCCATATACAGAATAACATCTATAAGGAGATTGAAACTTTGCCTAACTTACCCTGACTTTTAGGGCTTTAATCAAGAAGATTTGGAAGAAGAAAAAGATGAAACACACATAAAGGAAGCAGAAGATTCAGATTCTGATGATAACATAAAGAGAGGAAAGCAGTAAGTTTCTGTTCATTTTAAAACGGGAATTGTGTGTGTGTGTGTGTGTGTGTGTGTGTGTGTGTGTGATTTTAAAAATAATTTTATTGGGGGCTCTTACAACTCTTTTTTTTTACACTAATAAGGACATTTATTCATCAAGTCATAGCAACGTGTGATGCAGTTCTTAATGTGTTAGTCTGGGTAGACTGGAGAAACAAATTCATAAACACATATGTATATAAGGGAGAGGTTTATATTCAAGAGTGATTGAATATTGAGAAAACATCCCAACCCAGTTCAGTCCAAGGCCATAAGTCTGATATTAGCCCATATGTCGGATACCAATCTATAAAGTCCTCTTCAGACTCACAAAACACATGCAGTGAAGCCAAATGCAGGATGATCACGAGCCAGTGGGTAGAAAGTCTTTGGATCCAGTGGCGTAAGCATCTGGTTGCATCCGTGTGGCTTGTCTTCTGCAATGTCCCTCTTACAACTCTTAAAACATTCCACACATCAGTTGTGTCAAGCATATTTGTACATATGTTGCCACCATCATTTCCAAAACATTTTCTACTTGAGCCCTTGGTATAAGTGCTTCTTTTTCCCCCCTCCCTCCCCTATCCTCCCACCCTTGTGAATAATTGATCAATTATATATTGTTATTATTTCATGTCTTACACTGTCTGTTGTCTGCTTTACCCACATTTCTGTTACGTGGTCTCCTGGAGGGTGGGCTGTATAGCCAACCTTGTGATGAGTTGGTTCCCCCTTTCCTTTCCCTGCCCTGCCTCCATGATCCCCTTACCCTCATGATATCACTACTCCCACTACTGTTCCTCAGGGGTTTATCTTTTCTGACCAGGCCTCTTATCTGTGCCACAGTCTGTTCCCTGGTCTAGCCACATTTGTAAGTTAGAACTGGGTGATGGTAGTGGGAAGAGAGAGTATTCAGGAACCAGGAGAACGATGTGTGATTCATTGTTGCTATACTACACCTTGGTTGAATCATCCCTTCCTAATACTAACTCTGAGAGGGGATATCTAATTATTTACAGATGGGCTTTGGGTCTCCATTCCAACCCCCCTCTTTCACATTGTTTTGGATCTTTTGATAGGTATCCAGTTGATAACTTTTTTTCTAAATCATTTTATTGGGTACTTGTTCAACTCTTATCACAATCCATACATATATCCATTGTGTCAAGTACATTTGTACATATGTTGCCTGTAAGGTAGTCGAGAGGCACCAGAAACCAAATCAGTCGGATTAGAACAAACAGGCTTTATTAGGGAGAAAAAAAACCCAGCCTGGGTGAAGTCCCACAGTCCACAATGTCCAGGCTGGGGAAGTCGCGTTGCAGGCTACAGGGCTGCTGCTTATATGGACAGGTATGTCCGGGTTTCTGGAATGTAAGGTGTCTTCCTGGTTCCGGGTGTCTTCCTGCTGGGTGGTGGGCAAGAACAAAGCGGGCACTGGGCCCAACGGGCCATGCTGGGTGCAGAGTGGAGGGTCGAGAGCAAAGTGGGCACTGAGCCAAACGGACCATGCTGGTGCCGGGTGCCGGGTGCAGAGCTGCGGGTCGAGAACAAAGCGGGCCACTAGCTAGCTCTGGTCAGCTCCGCAGGTGTGTGGGAGATTCAAGGCCACTTGCTGTTAGTTGTTTCAGCTAGCTCTGGTCAGCTTTGCATGGGTGGGGGAGACTCAAGGTCACTTGTTGCTAGAAGCCGGCCTGGTATTGATCCGGCCATACATTGCCATCATTTTCAAAGCATTTTCTTCGTACTTGAGCCCTTGCTATCAACTCATTTCCCCCCTCCCTCCCTCCCTTATGAACCCTCAATAATTTATAGATTATTATTTTTTCATGTCTTGCACTGTCCATTGTCTCCCTTTACCCCCTTGTCTCTTGTCCATCCCCCTGGGAGGAGGTTATAGGTAGGTCATTGTGATCAGTTCCCCCTTTCTCCCCCAACCATCCCCTTACCCTCCTGGTATGGCTACTCTCAATATTGGTCCCAAGGAGTTTATCTGTCCTGTGTTCCCTGTTTCCAGCTCTTATCTGTACCCGTGTACATGCTCTGGTGTAGCCAGATTTGTAAGATAGAATTAGGGTCATGATAGTGGAGGGGAGGAAGCATTAAAGAGCCAGAGGAAAGCTTTGTGTTTCATCAGTGCTATACTGCCCCCTGACTGGCCTGTCTTCTCCCCATAACCTTTCTGTAAGGGGATGTCCAGTTGCTTACAGATGGGCTTCGGGTCCCCACTCTGCACCCCCGCCCCCCTCCATTCACAATGATAAGATTTTTATGTTCTTTGATACCTGATCCCATTGAGACCTCGTGATCACACAGGCTGGTGTGCTGCTTCCATGTGGGCTTTGTTGCTTCTCAGCTAGATGGCTGCTTGTGTATCCTCAAGCCTTTATGACCCTGGACACTTTATCTTTTTATAGCCGGGCACCATCAGCTTTCTTCACCATATTTGCTTACATACCCTCTTTGTCTTCAGTGATCGTGTCAGGAAGGTGAGCATCTCAGAGTGCCAGATTATTAGAATAAGGTGTTCTTTTATTGAGGGGTACTTGAGTAGAGGCCCAATGTCCATCTGCTGCCTTAATACTAAACCTACAAATATATGTACATAGATCTATTTCCCCATTATCATATATAAATATATTTACATATGCACTTGCCTGTATTTAAATCTCTATTAATGCCCTTTGCCTCCTAATTCTTTCTTCTATTTCCTTTTACTTTCCTCTCATCCCACTATCATGATCAGCCTTCATTTGGGTTTCAGTAATTCCTCTCGATTATGCTGCCCTTGACCAAGCCCTACCAGACCTCTTACACCCTCCTTGCCATCGATTTTTGGTCATTTATTGTTCCCTTGTCCCTTGGTTTGTTAACACCCATTTCCTTTCCCCCGCCTACCCCTTTCCCATGTGCCCCCCCCCCCAACTGTTATCCATTTTTCTCTCTTCCATCTTGTTTATCCCACCTATCTCATCAAGATAGACATGCAGAGACAACAATATGCACAAACACAAGACTGAGCAAAATAAAGCAACAATAGAAAATAAAACAATAGCTACAACAACAAATCAACAACACAAAAATAGAAAAACCTAGAAATACTTCAAGGTCTATTTGTTGTCCTTAAGGAGAGTTTTCTGGTAGAGTCTGATGGGGCACCACACCCTGGCCCCACAGTCTATTTTGGTATTCCCTGGGGACTTAATTGCTCTGCTCCTTTTGCTGCTCTGTTGCATACCCCCAGCATCTCACCTCGGGGTCAGGGCAGGCACAATTCTCGCTGTGTGTCAAAAATATAGAACACTTTATGAATTTGCGTGTCATCCTTGTGCAGGGACCATGCTAATCTTCTCTGTCTTGTTCCAATTTTAGTATCGAATGTGCTGCCGAAGTGAGCACCCGTTGAAACCTTTTGATACATCGATATGATCGTTTGTTTTGGATCTTTTGGTGTACTTCTTCCATGTGGGCTTATTTGCTTCCTTACTAGATGGCCGCTTTGTTAAAGACAACTCAAAAAAAACAGTTAAGGGAGGAGCAAAGCAATGAAGTCTCCGAGGAATTCCAGATATAGACTTCGGGGCCAACGCTAGACACTGATTTGGACTCAATTGGAAAACATTCGTAAAAGTCAGCCGACAGACTTGGAACTATTCATAGGCTTTTTTGTCTGTCTATATAAGATAAGCAGGATAAACAGTCCCAAGGAGAAAGCAACGGGACTGACAGTTCCAGGGGGAACATGAGAGGAGGGGTGGAGGTGGGGGAAAGGAAGGGGGTAACTAACAAACCCAGGGATAAGGGAACAAGAAGTGATCTAAATTCAATGGCGAGGAGAGCATAGAATGCCTGGTGGGCCGTGAAAGCCGAATGAAGGTTCGAACATGACAGTGGGACAAAAGGGAAAGTAAAAAGAAATAAAGGAAAGTACTAGGAGGCAAAGGACATTTATAGAGGTATAAAAAATGGGCATGTACATAGGTAAATATATTTTTATATAATAATAGGAACGTAGATCTATGTACATATATTTAAATGTTAAGTATTAAGGTAGCAGAGGCACATTGGTCCTCTACTCAAGTACTCCCTCAATCAATGCAAGTATAGGGGGAAGTCAGATGCTTAGACATCCTCCCTGGAGGCAGACTGCTCTCTCCACACCACAGGGGTGGGCCTGCTCCCTGCTGCTGGAGACATTGGATTGCTTCTCCCTAAGACTTGCGACCATTAGCTTGGTTCTTGTAGGAGTAGTTCACACCTTACTGATAATGGTCTCTATCAGTTGAGCCAGGGTACAAGTCAAACAGGCTCTGTGACATCCAAAGTTAGGCTGCCATCCTGTATGTAGGATCCACCCATCTTGCTGCATGTATACCACCAATCCCTCCTCGTCCTATTGTGTGTATGTCCCTAGACCACCCCCTCTCATTACTGTGTAACCTGTAGTACACCCCTTCCTGTGACGTATGTCTTCACCTGTAATTAGTGGGTTTGCATGCCCCCAAAAGTTATATAGGCCTGAGCTAGCAATAGAGCTCTCTCTCCCTGGCCTCTTGCCCCCTCGCTGCTCCTCTCGGTCCCCCTCTCCTCTCCAGTCCTTTCTCTGTTGTACCCTTTCCTGTCCTCCTTCCCTTCCCCTTCTCTCCACGTGGACCACCAAGCAGGGCTGAGGTGAGCAATACTACCATGTAATGTGTCTGACTGCATTATTGTAATGTCTCTTCTATCTCTCATGCTCTCGGTGACTTTAATATTTATATATCTCAACCGTACAATTGTGCTTACTGAACCCGTGGGTAGTGGGGGGGGGCTGGCCCCCCCCCCCCCCTTATACTAATACTACATGCAAGAACACTTTGTTCTAGTAACCTGGCATTCTCTGATGCTCACCTTCCCGACACAATCGCTGAAGACAAAATGGGTGCATTAGCAAATGTGAAGAAAGCTGATGGTGCCCGGTTATGGAAAGATAGAGCATCTGGGGCCTTAAAGGCTTGAAGTTAAACAGGTGGCCATCTAGTTGGGAAACAATAAAGCCCACATGAAAGAATCACAACAGTCTGTGTGATCATGATGTGTTGATGGAATCAGGCATCAGAAGACCCAAAACAAATGATCATTTTGGTGCAATCGAGGGGGGTGGAGTAGAGACCCAAAGCCCATCTGTAGACAATTGGACATCCCTCACAGAATGGTCACAAGGAAGGGACGAGCCAATAAGGGCACAGCAAAGGACCAACGAAACACACAATATTCCTCTAGTTCTTTAATGCTTCGTCTACTCCGCTATTAATGACCCCATTTCTACCTTACAAATCCGCTAGACCAGAGCATGTACATTGGTACAGATAAGAGTGCTCAACACATAGAATCCAGGACAGATAAACCCCTCAAGAACAATAATGGAAGTAGCAATACAATGAGAGTAGGGGGAAGATGGGGAGAGAGAGTGGGAACCGATTGCGGTGATCTATGTATAATACCCCCAGGGTGATGAACAACAGAAAAACATGGGTGAAGGGAGACAGTGGATGGTGTAAGATAGGAAAATAATAATTTATTGTTTATCTCAAGGATTCGGGGGTTTGGAGGGGGAATGAGTTGATAACCAAGGGCTCAAGTAGAAAGAAAATATTTTGAAAATGATGGCTACATATGTACAAATGTGCTTGACACAATGGATGTATGGATTGTTATAAGAGTTGTAAGAGTCCCCAATAAAATGATTTTAAAAAACAGTTAAGGTATAGAGACTTTGTATTTTCTTATTTAGTACCTAGTTAAGTTTAGTAGAGAATTTGTTCCACTTTTCCCCTTGTTAGTATTCAGTGCTGTTGGTGAATTATATGGTATTTGTGTTAGGCTGGATTGTCTAGAGAAGTTAAGCCATATATCTATCTTTATATATATAATATATGGCTGGTCAAGTAAGCTCTTTTGAAAAGTAACAATGCTAGATGAGTAGAAGAGTAAGCTAAAAGTCTTAACTACAAAATATTACTTGATTGTGTTTTCCTTGCTTTTGTTAAGATCGTTGGAGATGTCTTTTGGAAATCTGAAAAATGCCGTACAAACAAACAATCGTTGAGTTTGTTAAGTGCCCTCCAGTGAGTGATCTCTGACTCATAGCCACCCTATGTACAGCAGAGTGCAACACCGCCTGCTCCTGGGCCACGTTCACTATTGCTCTTTGTTGAAGGTCTTCTTGGTTGTGCTGCCTCTCTGCTAAGCATGATGCCCTTTTGCAAGAACGAGTCTCTCCTGACAACACATCTGAAGTACATGAGATGGAGTTCGCCGTCTTTACCTCTAAAGCAGTAGTTCTCAACCTTCTAATGCCTGACCCTGTAATACAGTTCCTCATGGTGTGGTGATCCCCCCAACTATAAACTTATTTTCGTTGCTACTTCATAACTCTAATTTTGCACCTGTTATGCATCAGGCAACCCCTGTGAAAGGGTTGTTTGACTCCCAAAGGGGTCGCAAGCCACAGGTTGAGAGCTGCTTCTTTAAGGAGTATTCTGACAGTACTTCTTCTAAGACAGGCTTGTTTGTTCTTTTGGCAGACCATGGTACTTCAACTTGATTCAAATTTGATTCTTCGGTCTTACTTAATTGGTATCCAATTTTCACATACGTATGAGGTGTCCATAGCTCAGGACAGGCTAACTTTATAAAGTCCTCAGAATAGCATCCTTGCTTTTCATCACTTGATGAAAAGAGGTCTTGTACAATAACACAAATGGTGACTGTATACATGGAAATCCCCAGAAGAAATACACAGAAATCAAATTGACTTCATTTATGGGAGAAGTTGATGAAGAAGCGTAATGTCAGCAGCTAAAACACGAGCAAAGTATAGAGAAAAGAAGAAAGAAATCAAGCAATGTATGATTGTACTGGGCAAATTCTGCTACAAAAAAACCTTTAAAAATGTGAAAAGCAAAGGTGTCACTTTGAAGACTACAGTGTCTGGCTCAAGCCATGGTCTTTTTGATCTTGGTTGCTGAAGCTTAGGTTCCAAATACCAGGTAATGACTTGAAAATCGGCATTATGCGAAATTGGGAAATGACTGCATCAGTATATAGCTGTCAGATAATGTCTTAACCATCACAGCCAGAGTTACTTTCACTGTAGAGCTAATTGTTCATAACGACCAGACAAAACCAAAACTCATTGCCATGAAGTTGATCCTGATTCATAGCCACCCTGTGCGACAGGGAGAACTGCCCCTGTGGGCTTCTGTGACTAACTCATAGCGGGGGTAGAAAGACCCGTCATTTCCCCCTCAGAGTCTGGTGGGTCCCACTGCGGACCTTGAGGATCGAAGCCCAGTGTGTAACCACTACGGCACCTGGGTGTTACTTGGACACATCATCAGTGAAGAACCAATCATTAGAAAAGGACATCATGCTTGGTCAAGTATAGGGTGACCCCAAAACAAGGGAAACCTTCGATGAGACGGCTTAACAGAATAGCCATAGCAATGGACTCAACTATAATGGCATTCATAAAGATGGTATAAAACCAGGCACCATTTTAAAAGATCACCATGAAGTGGAGTTGGCAGTAACAACCACAGGTAATTGAACATTTAAAAGAAGGTAGCACTGCATTAGATTTAAGAAAGTTGGTTTTTAAATGACAAAATGTGTATATAAAGGGGGACTTACCCTCAGGTCTTCTGAACTTGTTTATGTGTTGTTACTTAGTATGGACTTCCTGTCGGATTTTGAGATGATGCTGCAGCGGAAAAAGAGCATGAGTGGTAAGCGCAGACGTAACCGTGATGGTGGCACCTTTATCAGCGATGCAGATGACGTTGTGAGCGCCATGATAATCAAGATGAATGAGGCTGCTGAGGTTAGATGAGTGTACTTCGAGATCCGTTTCTTCTCACATAATTGGTTGGGTGGCTTTTTTCTTCAATTAGCTTAACTCTTACGTAAGCTACATTTAAAATACTTTGCATTTTATAATAAAGCATTCTAAATTTTGAGCATCGAAATAGTTTTATTTCTTATCTACATGTTTAGGAAAAGTGAAAGAATATGTGTAATAAATATTTTCTCCTTAAATTCTAAACATAGCTAAGCTTTCTTTTTTAAAATTTGTACTGATCTTTTTAAGATGTTTACAGAAGAGTACCTATGGAATTAATTGTGGGTGTCTGGGATTTGTTCCCAACTAGTTCTCAAGTGGAAGGAAGAATACTGAGATAGCTAAAATAAAATGGACCACATGTGGCTAAGTGCTGAAACTTGGTGATGGGTACCTAACAGGAGTCCGTTACTCTGAATTATACTTTTGTTAAAAACTAGGGAAATACTGACATAGATGTAATCCTTTGATAATACATCTTTTATCATACAAGCCTCACAGCTGAAAAAGCATTCCTCCAAACCAAATTCCCTTGGCTATCATTTGTGCCTGGAATAAACTCTGGAAAAATATACCAAGATTTTACGTTAAGACTGCTTCTCAACTTGTTAAAGGTTTTCTGGGTTTGAGCAACATAGATTGAGAGTTTGGGGCTCTGCAAACAATCTATTCTCTATTCTTCCTTGTAAGGAAAACTTGATTTTTGAGAAACTGTTTATTTCAAGATTTTAAATTATATTAGTTATTAACAAGTAGTATTGTTGTTTTACAAAAATAGGAAAGCACTCTTTTTTCCCCTTTGGTAGGAAGACAGACAGTTGAACAATCAAAAGAAGCCTGCACTAAAAAAATTAACTTTGTTACCTACTGTTGTTATGCACCTCAAAAAGTAAGTATTTCGTTTTCTTGTTTTCCCTTCTAATGGAATGGTATTTTAAGTATGTGCTGTTCTTCTAGAGATACTAAATAATGACAGCTTTTTATCAATTCGCAGAAAAGTAATAGTGAACACAATATCCTAAATACAATTTCTTCCCTATAGGTTTTTCTTCAACCCTTGTTGCTTAATATAACAGCAAATTCGATATAGTGGGAAAAAAACTTAATAGCCACTTATTTTGTTTTTGTTTGGGCTCTGGGTAAGTTGGCATCTGTTTTTCCACAGTGACTGGGAACGGAGACGCTATTGTAAGCAAATTAATCATATTAGGTGTATATAACCACCGATCACTGTGTTTGGGTCCTCTTGTATTAAACGTATCATTAGTCTTTTTGGAATAATGATGCCTTTTGTTAATAGAACCTGGCTACCAAGCTCTTCTGTTGATTTTCTCATATTCCTGCACTTTGAAGTCAGCTTTGCTTCCCCTGGAACTAAATCATTATCCAGTCTTGATGGCTGAAGACATGTGTTAGTCATCAGTGAGCCAGGGACATGATCTAGGAGTCTATGTATGGAATACTTTCATGTTCTTTATTACTATAATTGGAATTGACATGTATTCTGTTCCATAGGTGGGATTTAAAACGTCAGTGTCTCATGGTTTAGGTTTTTGTTGTACATGTGGTTGTTATCCCCACCAGGAGGATAGTATTCTTAGTGCTCTGCAAAGAGTAACTTAATTCTGATTTCTTCACCACCTGAAAAAGGTTGAAAAATCACTATTCTGATAGTTTGAACTTTTTTTTAGTTGTAAGAATTAGGGCTGATTATTCTTACTGTGTCAACCATCCATGACATCACTAGCCGGTCTTGAGCAATTTGCATTTTGTCATTAGGGTGTTTAATCATTTATCTTTGCCTGTCTAGTCTGCATGCTTCTTGAAAATAGGAACTAAATTTCATACTGCTTTTGAATCCGTAATTAAAATGTAAATGAATCTTTAAAAGCAAATTTTTGGGGAAAAAGAAGATTTTTGGAATGTCACTAAATATGGAAGGAAAGTCTGGAGATAGTTTATAAACTCAAGAGAACTCACAGCCATCAAGTCACTGTGGACTCATACTGACCCTATAAGACAGGGTAGATCTGCCCACGTGAGTTTCCTAAGCCTGTTTATAGGAGTAGAAAGCCCTGTTGTTTTTCTCCTTCGGAACAGCTGGTGGTTTTGAACTACCGATCTTGCAGATCGTAGCCCAAAGTATAACCACTACGCCACCAGGTCTTCTCCAGATAGTTCGTAGGTCTTGCTTTAAAAATTTTAAAAAATATTACTATTGCAGGCAGGACCTGAAAGAAACATTTATTGACAGTGGTGTGATGTCTGCCATCAAAGAATGGCTCTCACCTCTACCCGATAGGAGTTTGCCGGCATTAAAAATTCGAGAAGAGCTGTTGAAGATTCTGCAAGAGGTGAGAAGCAGATAATCTGACTTTTCATTAGTTATCTGATGTGGTTTGTATTAACTTCTGTATTTTACCATGCATTTGTACATTCTGCTACAGCCTGTCAGAAGAGTGACTGAGAAAGGGGACATATCTAATAAAATGAGCATAAATGGAAAGATCTTATAAAATTTCATATAATGATAATGCTGAAGATAAAAGATCTCAAGTAGCCATTGTGTATCTGGTTGAGGATTATAATATAATAATAGACATGTTCTGTGGAAAAACTTTAAGTCGAAAAGATACCAATTCCTGAGCTTGAATTTGAAGCTTGAGCTGGGCCCTTACTGTGGCCATGACACCTTTGGCAAGCTTCTTTTCTAAGAAGTCTTGAGGAATCTCTCATATGCCAAGAAGTGTGCTGAGTGATTTATATAGACATTGGTTCACAGTCTCCTCCCAGCAAACCTGTAAAATAGATGGTCCTATTTTACAGATGTGGAAATTGAGACTCAAAGAAATTAAAATCCTTGTCCAAGGTCACATAGATAGGAAGTGGATGTGCTGACTCTTGTATTAAACTTCAACCCTTAGTTTATGCCTTTTCACATTATTTGATTTTACATGTACACTTCATTTCAGAGATAATTCTGGGGGAAAAAACCCCATTATTGATTTATTTAAAGCATTTTATTGGTGGAGGGGAGGGTCTTACACATTTTATAATAATCCACCATTCAATTGTATTAAGCTCGCATGTACATATGTTGCCATCAACATTTCCAAAGCATTTTCTTTCTTTTTGAGCTCTTGGTATCAGCTCCTCTTTTTTCCCCTCCCTACCCCACCCTCCCATCCTTGTGAATCCTTTATCAATTCTATATCATTGTTGTTATTTCATGTCTTACACTGTCCATTGTTTCTGTTCACCCACATTTCTGTTATTCTGGGTTATATATCCAACCTTGTGAGGAGTTCCCCTTTTCTTCCAACTTTGAACTCTTGATGTGAGGAGTTCTGTGTTCACTGTGTACATACCTTAAAATGCATGTTTTGTAAGTTCAGTTGTGCATGAAAGAGGTCTTGGAAGCCCTCTAAAATAGATTAACAGCTCTCCCAGCTTCTGAATGAGTAATAGGTATGTATGTTTTTCTGTTCCCTAGCTACCTAGTGTAAGCCAGGAGACTCTGAAACATAGTGGGATTGGACGAGCAGTGATGTATCTCTATAAACACCCCAAGGAATCAAGGCCTAACAAGGACATGGCAGGAAAATTAATCAGTATGTAAACCTCGTTTTTTGTTTGGTGTGTGTAGATAGGTAGGTAGATATAATTATGTACTGTATATACTTGTGTATAAACCAAGTTTTCCAGCACATTTTTAATGCAGTTTTTGTGCTTAAAATTAGGTGCCTCGGCTCATATTCGGGTCAGCTTATACTCGAGTACATAGGTGTATATAAAAAGCTAATAGTATTTTTATCTGTTCACTTAAAATGTGTCAGTAAAGTGGGATAGAAAAATTTTAAATACCATCTTACAGTAAGTCATTTTCCCCTTTAGATTTAAAGTGCTTCTCAGTATTATTATTACTAAATACAACAAACAGAGCATGTGTTTGGTTTTTTTTATCGTGGGTCAAGAACATGGAGAGGGGTTAAAATGCAGGCCTTGAAGTCAGTCGTGCTGTAGTTGTGGAACTTAATTCCCACCTCCCTCTCTGTGTGTCCTTAGGCCAATGGATTATGTAAGCCCTTAACTCCGCCTCTGTAAAATTGTATAACTGTGTGCTTGTTTGGGGTTATTTTGAGAGAATATATAAAACATAGTGCCTAGCACATAATAGGTACTCGGGAAAAATCCACCACTACTGCTGTTATCATTGCTTGCATAATGTTTCTCTAAAACCCGTGCGTTCTTGTTTAATGGTGCCAAAGAAATCCGGAAGAGTCTGAGGGAAATGCATCTAATAAAGTGCCAGATTGTTTACAAGAGGCTTCACTTTTAAGAATGAAACCATGTTTGTTTTGCTATCCACCGCTAACTCTTCATGTTGGAAAGGCGTTTTTTATAACTTTAAGACTAGATAAGAAAACGGTCTCCTACATTGGACTATGGGAAGTGTTACTTTAGTGAGAATTTTAGATTGTCACATACTTTTATTAGAGGAATGTATATTTATTTTATAGACACAGGGAGATGTTTTAACTTTACTCTTTATCAATACCTGCATTTTTCCAACTGCTAACTGAAAGAACAAGACATGTGATGTTGTATGCAGTAATTTTCGACCTTTATTTTTACAGAATATTCCCCTTAGTTTCCATGATAACTTAACAGTGATGCTGAATATAGGGGTGGGTCAGTTCTGGTGGAAGTGAAGGGGTCAAAGATGCATGAATCCTTGAGAGTCCCTGCTCTGCTTAGTGTGGCAAGGCCTAGTATATTAAAAGTATCAGTAAGCTTTGTTATACATTAGAACAAAAATATTTAATACTTAGAAGTTGTGATTGTTTGAAGGACTGGCGGGAGAAGTGCTGTTTCATAAACTGCATGATTATTATAGATGAGTGGTCTCGGCCTATATTTGGCCTTACCTCTAACTACAAAGGGATGACAAGAGAAGAAAGGGAACAGAGAGATCTAGAACAAATGCCTCAACGACGACGAATGAACAGGTATGAGGGAACAGGTCTGAGTAAGTGGAATAAATGTTGTTATTGCAATAACTCATTTTTTTGGTGAATATTTTGAACATTAGGAAAATTGCAAGATAACAGGTTTTTTCTTTCCTCTCAGCTTGATGATATGCCTGTCTAGTTTATAATATTTTTAGATTAAATTATGATAGTATATATTAACAGTTCCCCTCTCCACGTCAATTTGCTAATTATGACTTTTCCTATTTCCAGAGGTTGCCCCTTATATTCCAAACACTTGCAAAGAACAGTTTTCTCTTTCTCGGTTCCATTTCCAAATTTCTTTGCGGAAATATATTATGGGCCCAACGTGTATCACTATACTAAATACAGTTGTATCTAGGAGGGAAGGCCTTACTAATTACAAATATGTTTGTGAGAAAACCTGTTACATAAATAAATACCAACCTAAATGGTACTTTTTAAAGATTGATATTTAAATTTAGTGGTGCTTTGTTGTTGTTGTCGTTTTCTTAGTTGGAGATTTCTAAAATTTCAGTATTTTCGTGAATTCCATTTTTCTAGCACTGGTGGCCAGACACCCCGAAGAGACTTGGAAAAGGTTTTGACAGGAGAAGAGAAGTAAGCTTTCTTTACATTTTTACTTGGACTGTACAGTGCTATGAAAAATAACAAAATAAACAATGTTATAGTCAAGGATATGTTCACACCGGGAGAGCTTTTCAGTTGACCATTTATTGAACATTCCTAATGCACAAAATAATTACTGGGTGTTATGAGAGACAACAAAGAAAACTGAAGAATAGTTCATTTTATAAAGATTTTGTTGGTGCTTAAGTGCTAGGCTCAAGGAACAGAAAATTGAATTAAACACAAGGGGACTTCAAAAACTCTGCGGGGAAGAATCCATTATCTTTCAATTACATTTTTCCACAAAATTTTGCAGCCTCTTCATAGTTCATATTCTTAACACCAGGTTTATGGGACGTGTCATTTATCACATTTGATTTCCTCAATGAAATTACAGAAACCGTTAACATTTACCTCCTACCACTTATGCCAACCTAGAAAGTAGAAGAGGTCTGAAGCAAGTAGGCAATTGTACTGGATGGGTGGGAATAAAAAAATGCACTGTCCCATTTGTGTTTCGCTACATAAAAAGTATGATTGTCCTTCCCCAGGGCTCTGAGGCCTGGAGATCCTGGGTTCTGTGCTCGAGCGAGGGTCCCGATGCCGTCAAACAAAGATTACGTTGTCAGGCCCAAGTGGAACGTGGAGATGGAGTCTTCCAGGGTAAGTGAGCAGAGGAATAATAGTAGAGTTGGTTTACGATGCAAATTGCTGTTTTATTTTGTACTTTATGTGCAACTATCTCTTGAGGTGTCTCTGATTTAGAGATCTGTTTCTTGTCCTTCATCTGACCAAATCAAAATCTGGAAGGAAAAGATGAAAGCTCTTTGCTCTTGAGCTTTTCCATAAGACTGACCGTATATACTCATGTATAAGCTGAGTTTTTCAGCACATTTTTAATGCAGTTTGTGGTAAAATTAGGTACCTCAGCTTATATTCGGGTCGGCTTATACTCGAGCATATGCAGTACGTTACCAAGAAGTTTCTTCTCGTTTATCCATGTATTTCAAGTAGTTCTTCAAACCTGGTGTATTCAGATAGAATTCCCGTTTTCAGAACCATGACAAATGGATCTTAGGTGTTTTCTCACATCTAACTTTCCTTTTCTGTTTGATTGTTTAAATACTTATATTGAGAAATATTTAGGGTAGATATTACCTCTGTCATCATTTTAAATATCACTCAGAGATCTTAAGTGTTTTTCAGTAATCCTTTTTAATTCTTCTTTATCTCTTCTTCCTACCTGGTGTTCTTACAAAGGGCAAAACCGATTGGAAAAGCATATGCAAAAACAACTTAGCAAAGTGCGCCACACAGTAAATTCAGTCTTGAAGGCAACAGGATGCTTGTGTAGGCCTAGACCTGCTAGAGAGGTATCCCCAAAGAAGCATATACTTATGCATGTCAGCAGTCAGTGAAAGTGTGTGTGTGTGTGTGTTTTCATTTTCTTAAGTAATGACTAATAAACATTTCATTGTGTCAGGGGAGCCAGCTCCTAACAAATCATCACAGGCCCAGCAGGCGCAATTGTACAGCGATAATAAGTAAAGATTTTAGTCAAGTCATAGAGAATAATAGAGATAGGGGAGAGAGTGAAATATAGGAGTCAGACACATTGCATGGTAGCATGCTCACCTCATCCCTGCTTGGTGGTCCACGTGGGGATGTGGAAGGTGTGAATAGCAGGAGCGAGAGAGATTTATTACTAACCAAGGCTTATGTATCTTTGGGGGACGTGCAAGCCCCCTAAGTACAGATAGTACGTCACAGGAAGGGGTTGTACTATAGGTAATACAATAATGGGAGGGGGACGATCTAGGGGTGTGCACGCTGTAGGAAGAGGAGGAGTCAAGGGTATACATGTGAGAAGGCGGATCCTAGCTTCATGATGGTTGCCTAACTTTGATTGCTCTTGAGCTGGAGACTTGATTTAGTCTAAGCTTTCAGGGGAGGCAATCAACTGTCCCTAACAGCAGGGACTGAGCGCCCCCTGTGTGGGATAAACAATAGTGTCTGATTGCTCTGGATGGCTGAATGCCTTCATGGAGAATATGTCTAAGCATCCGAACTCCCACCATGTGCTGGCAAACAGCCTCTGAGGTTTGGCCTGTCTTTGGGGGGACAAAGCTGGGGAAAAGTGTTTATATCCCACATCATGGCATGCAATCTTGAATATTTAGAAATTGACCATTCCTTCCTTAATGCGTACCTAGTGACTAAAAGATTGTCATTTTTCTCATAAAGCATTTGGTCTTGGCTTGTACATAATTTATTAAAAAGCCTTTTTGTCAGGCCCCATAATCGTGGTTTGCATTACAGGCGTGTAAACTGTTTGAGACTTCTTGGTGAGAGGGAGGTGACCTTTTTCCCTCCTAGTGCCCAACAACATATATTTGAGGACTCATCACACTGTGTGGATTTTTTTTATAACAGATAGATTTAATGTACTTACTCAGAGACAGGAAAAAATTTGAGACATTCCTAAAGGACAATTTATCCACCAAACTCTGAGATTCATAAAGGGCACCTTTGTTGGCAGTGTCCCGAGAAAGTCTGTACGCTGCCTTCCTTTCTCAGCTTTGCTTCCCGTTTCCATTGGCCCCGCTCTGATATTCCCACCAGTGGATCAGTAAGTGACTGTCAAAGCAAGCTCCTTTCTTACTCACCTGAGAATAAAGACAGAGGAGTACCAGTTCATGCCAAGAACTTCTGCTTCTTTAATGTTCCTTTTTTTTAGCTTTCACTTTTATCCCTGTCTCTTGGCCACTTCTCTCCATTTAAAATTAAAAAAAAAAAGACTTTTATCATAGTCTTTTCCCTCCCTGTTCCCAACAGTTTTATTAGCACGTAATTTACATATTATACAATTCAGTAGTTCTTCCCTCCTTGAGCTCTTTCAGAATATTTCCCCTCTACACACACTTTGAATTTTAAGAATTATGAACTGTGGGATGACATTAAAAATGTCATACAAAATTTTAGTGGCTGGTCTTTGGAAACATGGTTCCTGTCTTGAAAGGCACTGTGTCTATCTCTCGGTGCCAATGGTTGCAGTCCAACCCTCCTTGTAAGTGGTAGGGAGAAGGGAAGAGGTAGCCCCACGACCTAGAGTAGAGATGAACGGCGAAGGGGGAACAGGAAGTTATGGGTCTTTGGCCCTTCAGAAAGTCAAGTAGAATGCCCTGAGCACCCTACAAATCTGTTGCCACACCTTTGCTCCTCAAAGGCCCGCCTTTGCTTTGGCTGGACTACTTCCACCAATTGGCAGCCAGTGCTCTGATGCTTTGCTTGTGATATGTCTTCAGGATTGTACTGGTAAAGCCATGTTTCATCTCCCGTTAACAATTCTTTTCTTAAGAAATGCTCTTCTCTTGTCAGCATCTGATCGGGGGCCATACGTTGAGCAGCAAGGTTGCTCAACTTTAATTACACAATTTTCTATCAGAATTCTGTAAGCTGAACAAGTTGAGAGGTCTCTTGTGCTGACTATTGTTTCTGCTGTTAATCGTTGGTCCTCTTTAATTCGAGTACGAACAAGATGGTTTCCTCACAAGTTAGACATGGATGGTCTGTTGCTACAGACTTAAATCTTCAATGTTGTCTCCACCCTTTTGAAAATGAGCTATCCATTTGTAAATTGCTGTTTTCTTTGCGACATTGTCCCCATAAACTTTTTGTAAAGCATTCTTGATTTCACCATTCTTCTATCAAGCTTTACCATAAATCTGATGTCTATTCTTGCTTCAATTTTAGCAGAATAGTCGCTCCCATAGAGGCTCTTTTCAAGCTAATTATCTATTATAGTGCCTCAAATTTGATCCTGTTCTGACATGTTACAAAAAGTTAGTACAAGTTCATTTTAGTGCAAAAACAAATATTGGAAATAGCATGATTTCTTTTTATAATACAAGTTTTCCATAAACTTTTTAAAGGCCTCTCATAAAATACTATGTTGTGTAGTATTCATCTCTTATCCCACCATTTGAAAGCTGAACATTACACTTTTTTTCAATTTATATCTTAAATATAATTGAAATTATACTGTGTATAATTTTGATTATTTTCCTTCATTAATCCTCCATATAGATTCATCTTTTTAATGGCTTCATTTAGTCTATTGTATGACTATGTAACAATTTGTTTTTGATTCCACTGTGGTTTCTGGTTTTTCACTCCCAAAATTTGCCAGGTTTCATGGCTTTTAATAACAGTGTAAAACTTATGAATCACAAGGGAGGTTGTTGACTTTGACCAATTTGACATTCTCTCACTGTTTTCAGGCATGAGGTAACTAAGCATCTGCTGGCTCTGAGTGATCAGCGTTGTGTTTAGACACTGCCCTGGATGTGTATCTCCCAGTTGCCAAGGGTAAACAGAGCAATCAGGGTTCAGACTCATAGAGAATGTCCTACAAATGGGCAAGGAGAAGGCCACTGGTTGGTGTATAGAGCTGTGAGGAGTTGGACAGTTGGCTGAGATCCAGATATGGAATATGTCAAATGTAGGTTGAGTGCAAGTACCAAAGATAAAGAAATGTTGTCTGAAAAGAAATTACAGATTTGGGAATATCCAGGAAATTAAAGGGCTAAGTAGGTGGCATAGATCTTATCTGCCAAATGTGCTAACTCTGACTTAGAAACAGAAGTTTCAGTTGATAAAAAATATATATTGGGATTGGGATTTCCTTAGAAAATAAGATCTAGACTAAATGTTCAGTAGGGCTCTTGTTCAAGAGTGACTTAATAGTATATGCCTAGTTCTTGGTTGGAGGTGCCTAGACTCAAAAGAACTACATCAACTACATTAAGCCCCACCTTTTTTTTTTTTTTTTTTTAGCATTATCATGAATTGAACTTCAGAGGCTGTTTAGTAGTAAACATCTTGGAAGAATTCTAAATACTGGTCTTTTTTAACCACTCGCCATTCTTAGAATCACCTTAGCAATTAAAATTCACTTTGGCCTTTGACAAAAATTGCAAGCCTTTCAACATTTCTAAACGTGTCAGTTTTTTTGGGGGTGGTGGGGTGGTGGAGGGAACCACAACTTTGTAAGACATCTGACATTTTTAGAATATAAAAGAAACTGCCCAGTAACCAAACTGTTCAACATGAATGAAGGACAAATTGGAAGAGATGTTCGAATTGTGTACGTTTCTAGAAACTGTGCACTCTTTAAAGAGGTAGTCCCTTGGGTCAAAAAACTAGTTACTTTCCTTTGCAAAACATTGGTGTTGGTGTTGAGTGTATTTAGTTAAATGTAAATTATAGTCCAGAAAGAGTAATAATTAGTATTGAACTGATACTTTTTTGAGGACTGACTAGGACATCATTACCTTAATTACTTCTAGCAATCCTGTGAGTAACACAGACCAGGCCAGTGACTTACTTGCTCAAGGGCTACAGAGCCTGCTGAGTCAGAGGGATCCGCCTGGGTCTGAAACTAACACTCCAGCATATATACAGGTTTGCTTTGCATATGCTAGCCCTCTAATTTCTCTTAAGTGATCGATTCCAATTAATGATCTTTTAAAAGGGAAAGCAAATCATCAAAATGCCAGTATGGTGGGAGGGCGGGGAATCATCTGCTTAATTTTTCACTCCTCATTAAATCTCCATGGACTAAGCCAAAATTTAAAATTAGACAAAATAATTTAGTAGTATATGTGACAGTGCTGTTTAGTCTTTCACGTGTTCTTAGAACCTCAAAGCACATTTTGGTGATTCTGGCATCTGAAAGCTAACTTTCAGGTAGAAGAAAATGAAAGACAAAACTAGATTTCTGTGTTTCGATTACTGCTCTTTAATTTTCCACCCCCACTCTTAGTTTCAGGGCACCTCCAAGAAAGGTATCAGCCGACTGGATAAACAGATGAGAAAGTTCACAGATATCAGGAAAAAAAGCAGATCAGCACACGCAGTGAAAATCAGCATCGAGGGCAATAAAATGCCATTGTGACTGCCTGGGATGGACCGACATCTCTAAGAAATTTATGAGAGACTCTTTGGAGGAGAAATATCTCATTACATTTTTTTTTAGTGTATCTGTAAATGATTGGTTCCACTTGTATCAAATGTCATAGGACTAGCAATTTCTCATATGTATTTAAAACTGTTTGTTGTGTACTTTGTACAGAAGAATATTAGTCATACTGCTATAAACTTTACACAATAAAATTACACTCTGGTTTTGGGGGATTGTCTCTTCATTGTCTAAGAAGAAATTTTCTCAATGGGAACAAAAATTAGTTCTTGGGTATTGAAAGAAATCATTGTGGATATTACAGTCGTTGTGATCCTCTAAATTTTTAACCCACAAAAAAATTTTCCCTAATAGGTAAAATGTCCCTATTGGGTAAAATTCTACTTAATCATTTAATTTACATTTTTAAATTTCCTCTTTGGGAATAGGGGCCTGGCAGTAAAGAAAAAAGGTTGAGAAATTCTTCCTTAGAGGAAATTTGTGTTGAAGTGAAAATCGCATTAGCAAATGGACAACTAGAATAGGGATAAGAATTTTATTTCTTGTTGCTCTGCTTCTGTTTCGTTTTTGTTTGCTAGTTTGTTTTCTAGCAGTCTCTATCTAGAGACTTAGTTTTGAGAAATTCCTTCTGGGTTGAAATTATTAAATTCAATAACATTTATCATTTAAATAATTTTAATTACTGAAATTGTAGTCTGATACAAATTGGAGTAGAATATCGGACAATCTTAATTTCATAAGCATGAGAATCTTTTTGGCCAGAAAGGCCTTTAAATATCTGAAATAGCATGATGCTCATGTAATAAAGCATTTTACTCATAAGAGAACCTCTCAGGACTATTTACACTTGCTTTCAATAAACTTAAAAGGGCAAATAGGATAGTGAAGTTGCAAGAGGTAGGTAAATTGAAGGTATTAAAAGGTGATTGATAAACCAATCAGGAAAAAACCCTAAATTGTTGTCACATTCAAAATGACTCAAAAGCACAGCCGTCTAGTGTTATGTCTTACAGAACTCTTAAACAAGGCAGAAGTGGTTTATAAGCAAGTTTAAATTTATAAACACGGTATTTTGCCATATCATTGGGTAAGTGCCAAGTGACCTGGAAATTTTATAATTGATACTTGAATTACAAAGCAGAATCACCCGAGGACTCAAAATACGAGGAAATTCATTTGTACTCTTAAAAAAAGAACCATAGTTTTTTCTTTTGAGAAATCATAAACCTGGCTGACCAAATTAACTTAAATTTTGAAAATATTCTAAATTTAAAATAAAAGTTCCAAAAATAGCAAAATACGCACCCTTATACACTTTACCTGTTTTTAAAATTTTAATATTTTGCCACATTTATTTATCACCATGTACATGAGGGGATTTCTAAGAAGTTGGTAAAAAAATGGAATTAAAAGATAAAATTTATCAACATAAGCACTATCAGTATATTTTTATAAGTGATGATACCTGCCATTTAATCCATCCCTCAAGAATTTAACCATGCCAAGGCAGTCTTTTTTACGTAGTCAACTGTTGAAAAAAATGGCCTTTAAAACTTGTTTTAAGATTATGAAACAAAAAGTCAAAGATACCCAGATCAGTGCAGTATAGTAGATACCTAATGATTTCCTGTGACTGTCCTACAATTAGGTCCTTCTTTGGTGGAGCACTTGTGACACTTTCCTGGGTCTTTTTCTTCTGAATGTTTTCAAAACTACTAAATCAAATGTTACTGTTACTTAATCTCTAGAACGTTGACAAGCAAAATGCTTTCAGCATGTCAAATAACTATTGCCATGGCCCTTGTTCTTGACAGGTGTGCTTTTGCTTTGCCTGGAATACTGCTTTTTGGTAGTCATTGCTTCCTCTCCTGGCTTTATTCTTCCAACAACTGCTTCAAAGTCTTCACTCTACTTGCTTAAAATTTCTACTAAATGTTCTTGTCTGCAGCTGATCTGGGCACACCCATTGAGCAGGAAGTGCACTCAGTTTTTTCCGTCAGAATTGTGTAAACTGAAACAGTTGAGAGGTCTGTAGAGTTGACTATTGTTTCTGCTGTTAATCGTTGGTCCTCTCCAGTTAGGGCACAAACAAAATTGTGTCCTCACAGTTGACATGGATGGTCTGCCACTACAGGCTTAGATCTTCAACATTGTCTCTACCCTTCTTAAAGCGAGCTATCCATTGGTGAGCTGCTGATTTCTTTAGGATATTGTCTCCATAAACTTTGTAAAACACCAGTGATTTCACCATTATTCTGCTTAAGCTTCCCCGTAAGTCTAATGTTTATTCTTGAGTCAATGTTCGCAAAACAGTTGCTCCATTAGGGGCTGTTTTCAAACTGACTTACCTATCGAGTGCCTCAAACTTGATCCTGTTCTGACATAATAGAATAAGTTAATGTGAGTTCATTTTGGTGCAAATATTTTTTTTGAAATCTACAGTTTTCTTAATTACCTGTATTTTCCATGAACTTTTTGTACCACACGCACAGAAACACAAATATGAAGGGACTTTAAAAAAGTTCATGGGAAAATGGAATTAAGGTATAATGGAATTTTTCCATAGGCTTTTTGAAATCCCCTCATAATTGTTGTTGCCATCGAGTCATCCCAAACTCATGGTAACCTTATGTATAACAATAAAATCCTGCCTGATCTTATGCCATCTTCGTGGGTGCTGGTGTGTGTGAGTTCATTGTTTCAATCCATCTCTGATGATCTCCCTTGTTTTACTGACCAAGCAGGAAGTCCTTTTCTAGCAATTGCTCTGTCCTGATGATACACAGACATGATTTTTTTGAAACGATTTGAGAATAACTTGTTGGCATTTTGGCCCTTTATCCCAAAGGGGAGAAAGGGAACTTGGAAAAATTCAATTATTTTTTAGTTTTTTTCGCTAACTTCTTGAATTGCTTCATAGGCATGTTTCTCCCTAGAGAAAGGATTTAATATTCCCCAATATTGGTCATATTTCCTAACCATTAGGTTAGCGTGGACAGAATCACTTAAAGGCGTACAGGCTTTATCCCAGAGTTAACGTTAGAAGTGAGGTCCTTGTAATGTCAGGTGTTTCTGATTATTAGCCTGATTGAAAACTAAATTTTGAATGAGTTTTGGGCAAATTACTACATTTTTTGGATCATGTGACCTGACAGGCAGAAGGAGAGCTTATTGCTAATAAAGAACACTCAGCGTTCTAGAAACAAATCGGTGTTTCCAGACTGACTTCTCACTCACCTGCCTGTAAGCCCTCTAACCTCAGATTCACAGTGGGATTGAGTGGAGTATGTAATGCTAGGAATATGTGTTATCTAAATGTAAAAGGATTGTGACGGTGCCGGGTTAGTCTTAAAGACAAGATTACCTAGTGTAGTTATTGACTAGAAATGTTGCCCTAAACAAGTTCTTGTAGTCAAGGTAGTGTGGCTATTAGTACTGCTAAGCAACAGACGCGCACTTGGTGGTTCAGTGGCCATCGAGTAGGTTCTGCCTCAGCGACCCGGCTTACAACAGACCAGCACACTGCCTGTCCTTGTGCCGTAGCACAGTTGTTCTTATGGTTGAGCCCAGTGGTGCAGCCGAGGTACCAGCCCACCTTTGTGTGCCTTCCTCGTTTTCACTGCCCCTCTACCAAGCACGATGTCCTCCAGGGACTTTTAATCAGGATTAAACCAGGATGCCTCGTTTTAAGGAAACTCCAGATTTAACCAAAGCTTTGAGGTAATGGCTTACAAAAAGATTGACCATAAGTTTCTTTTAAAAGCGTTTTAATCTTCGAAAGTAGAAACTGAATTGCCACGTTTGAAAGCACAACTAATAGAAGCATCATTCACTTGAGATGAAAGGCTATGTATGAATCTGCTCCCAAAGATGAGTTCTGTTCTTACAAAGTACGGCATCCTGTCTGAAATGCTCACGTGCTACAACTGCAGCTGTGAGTGCAATGGGACAGGATTTAAGTAAAAATAGCTTACTTTTTAGGTTAGGGGAAAAAAGTCATTGGATGCTAAGTTAGAGGAGACTTAAGAGTTTTCTCTAATATGTGAGATGATCTTGTGAGGGAGGGTGCTCTGTGTTGACAGTTCTAAGAGTCCTAAGGGGGAATAGAGGATGCTTGCCTGCGCTTTGAGTTTGGGAGAGTGGTTTGTTTGTAATTCTTTGCCTGGTTGTGTGCTGAGAAGTTCTCTGTCTAGAGATACCGTGGAAATGATCTTAATTCCCCAGCCCAGATCTATTGGGAGGCCAACACAAGAGGTTAGAAGGTCTGTGTAAACACTAGTCTTTTGAGATGGGTTAAATGGAAGGTAACCAATGTAATCATCTATGTCTCTATCACTGAGGTAGATTATTCTGAAATCCATGTCAGGAGTAAGCAGTGGCCATGTAGATTAGACTGTAATCACCTAGAGGGCAAGAACTAAGTCTGGTTATCTGAGTCCTATTGTTGCACTAAATATTCCTGTTAAGTGCCATTGAGTTAGTTCTCTTAGCAACTGTGTGCAACAGAATGCAACACCGCTCAGTTCTGCACCCTCCTCGCAATCATTGCTATGTTTGAACCCACGGTGGCCACAGTGTGTCGATTCGTTTCATTATGAACCAGAGCAGGTAAGCACACATGACATGGGATGGCTAGACCCGAGAGAGAAACGATAGTGGGACTAGACCTCAGAGAAGCTCCCAGAGGCACGCCTTCTCTGTCTGTCTCTTTTTAAATCATTTTATTGGGGCTTCATACAGCTCTTATCACAATCCATACATGCATCCATTGTGTCAAGCACATTTGTACATTTGTTGCCATCAACCTTTTCAAAACATTTTCTACTTGAGTCTTTGGTATCAGCTCCTCATTTTTCCCTTCCCTCACAAACCCTTGATAATTTATAAATTATTTTTTCATGTCTTACACTGACCAATGTCTCCCTTCACCCACTTTTCTGTTGTCCTTCCCCCAAGGAGGGTTATATATAGATCATTGTGATTGGTTCCCTCTTTCTTCCCCCACCTTCCCCTTACCCTCCTGGTATTGGTACTCTCTTTATAGGTCCAGAGGGGCTTATCTGTCCTGGATTCCCTGTGTTTCCAGCTCTTATCTACCTGTGTACATGATCTGGTCTAGCCAGATTTGTAAGGTAGAATTGGGATGATGATAGGGTGGGGAGGAAGCATTAAAGAACTAGAGGAAAGTTGTATGTTTCATCGATGTACTG